ATCCGAGACTGCTATAATATGAAATATATGGCAGAATGAGGATAAAACAGAGCAGGAGACATACAATTCTCCCCCAAGGAGTTGAATCAAAATTTAATTAACACATTTTTTAATGTGTCATTAGCATGAACGCATGTCCTCTGGAATGGTGGTCGAAGCATGAAGGGGTATACGAATGTTTAGCATATCTGACACATAAATACCTTACAATGTCGGCTACAATAGTGCCATGCGAGCGCCTGTTCTCACTTTCTGGTGACATTGTAAATAAGATGAGGGCAGCATTAGCTCCTGTAAATGTAAACAAACTTGTTTATCTTAGTGATTGGCTGAACAAGAAGTAGGACTGAGTAGACTTGTGGGATCTAAAGTTTTAAATTGTTTTATTTTTGAGTGCAGTTATGTAACAAAAAAAATCTACATTTGTCAGTTACACTTTCATGATAAAGAGACTGCACTACAGTATTTGTATAAGGTGAATTGAAAAATACTATTTCTTTTTTTATCATTTCACAGTGCAAATATTTGTAATAAAAATATAAAGTGAGCACTGTACACTTCGTATTCTGTGTTGTAATTGAAATCAATATATTTGAAAATGTAGAAAAATATCAAAAAATATTTAATAAATTTCAATTGGTATTCTGTTGTTTAACAGTGTGATTAAAACTGCGATTAATCGTGATTAATTTGTTTATTGCGATTAATTGCTTTGAGTTAATTGCGTGAGTTAACGGCAATTAATCAACAGCCCTACATTTTTGTAAATGCTTGTGTACAAATATGCAAAGAATATAGATGGAGATGATAGCTATATGACAAATTGCGGAACCACATGATATTTATAGTTATCTTGCTCCTTTAACCACTCTCAATTGCCCTCTGCTCACTTATTCAAGACTTATTTTAACAACTGAAACCTCTCAACAGATTCAAATGGCTGAGATAAAAAATAAATCAACCTGGCAGAGAAGTGTTTTCCTCCTCCACGAAAGGAGAATTTCCTCCCAAAATATCCCAGGTGGGGCTAGTGACAGCTTTTCTATACATAAAAATATAATGGATGTTAAAACCCAATATCCTGCAAGACCATAGAACTAGAAAAAGGAGCTTTATCCCACTGGAAAGAGAAGACTTGCAGCTTTCCATGGGGACCCAGCACCTGCTTCTAACCTGGAAGATGCTGAGATTTCTTGACTTTAAATGTGACGTTTTAGTTATGAAAGCTATTTTATGTCATTTTTAGACATTTTTATGGGTCCCTCTTGTCTTGTGCAATTGGATGCATGGTAACAAAGGCACCTGGGTTTACAAGAAGAGCGATACAAAAAAACAGTTCCAATAAAACCTATAAAACTCTAAACCTTCCTAAAATTGCTTTTCTATAACATAGGTTTTATACAGGACACAATTATATGATATTAAGGTTTTATCAGCAAACACTTGGGGTAACCTGCATAATTCACTTGTAGTGTCACCACTTGTAAATAATGGGGCCACCCCAAAGTCATAGTGATAGAACCTTTATACCACATCATCCATTCTACATGTATCTATGTCTTAGCAGGGAATAATTAGCTGTGTTGTCCTTTAAACTGTCAACATAAAGCTTCCAACTTAGTACCCAAATGGGACAGTTCACCCCTCTCTGAGTTACTGTTTCTGGCTATGTATGTGCAGTCTCAGATTGTGCGGCACAGATTCATAACAAGAAAGGGTTTTTTTCACAACGAAGAACCTTTTTTTTTTAAAATGAAAGTTAAAATTCTTCTGAAAGTGATGAACTCTTCAGAGCAATTCCAGTGAGGTGTTCCACCGAATGCCGGTTCAGCTGGAGTCCTGTGGCTAACCTGAAACAAGGTGTCCCACTGCAGCTCTCCTATGACATGCTGGGGGAAAAGGTGGCAGAATGTGCCTAGGAGGAGTCAATGAGTGACTAAGACTAGGATCAATGGGGGAGAACTCTTGTTGGTTTACACATACTTCGAGAGTATAAATTACTCACAAGAACAGCAGCATTATAGTTTTCCTGCTCAGACACAGAATTTCCACTTGAATCTCTCTCTGCTGGATTCACAGTAGAACAAATTCATTTTTCCACATTTAATCAGCTTTCAGAATTATTGGTTCTCTTTCTTAAAGAATGTAAATGAGAAGGACTGAAAGTATCTGGTGACAGAGGAGCTAAAAAATAGATTCCTTTAGGAAAAGCTTATGGATTTTCCAGAGGGGAGAGTGTGTGCCCATATGTGTGTGAGTGGATAAGAATGAATGGGTGTTACAAGGAGTGCATGTATTCAAAAAGAAACTTTAATTTTGATTATAATTTGAAAGGGGAATCAACCATAGTCCAAATGATGGCTGTAATTGAAGACTGCAGCTGGATTGGTTAGTTGCCTGCAGACAGGGAGGGTGCAAGGATGTTTCGCGCCCTAGGCGAAACTTCCACCTTGCACCCCCTCCCCCAAGCCCTGTGGCAGCTCTCCGCCCCCCCCTCCGCCCTAAGGCGCCCCCCCGC